AATACAAGAAAGCATGGCTGAGGAACCATAAGCGTATTTATGTGGAAGAAAAGACATTGAAGTTGTGGCTGCAGGCAAAATTTGATGCAGGTTATGAGTTATTCAGTGACAGCGATTTTACTGATAGGAATTTAAATAAAATAATGCCAGATCTCACAGACATTTGTAGCATTTGTGAGGCAAATGTTTATTCTACTACACATTATAATTGGAAGACAGCTTTTAAGCCTCTTTACACCGGTGGACTATGAAAAGAGAGAAGAATTTCAATTGGGGGAAGTTGTCTCAGATTTGGTGCCAAATTCTCAAAACTAAAATAATGAGAATTGTATGACACACAGCATAAAGAATTGATATTTAGATATTGAGAGGGAAAGGGTTGGAATGTCATTCTATGTACACTGTACATATTCAGTTGGTTATTTATAGTTTGTTTGCAATATTTTATCCAATAAAAAATTCTGAAAATAATGGATCCTTTTTCACAAGCTTGCTAAAGAGATTTTGCTTGGAAAAGTTTCAACATATTTCTATAAGAATGCAGGGAATTATGGATACAATATCTCAATCTTTGTGAAAGAAATTTTGGTTTGTCTCACAATTTACCTTACAGCTGTAATGGTAAATTGTCCAGTCAGGTTGCCAGGATAAAAAAGTTTGCACTTTCTTCATCTGGGTAACCATGTTAAAAATGTCTAGAATAAAATGCCCAATTCATAATTTGGTAAGGACGGTGAAATTTCCCTTACGAGGGAAGGAGTCAAACACTGTGGACCAGTAAGGTTCCTTGACTCTCATGAAGAGGCTGTGGGAGACTGGGCAAGTAAAAATAAGAGTTGTCATTGATCAGTTGAAATCACAGCACGTGAATTAGGTGGCTATAAGTAGAACTGACCTTATTCACTCAATTTTTCTCTTTGTAGATTATCTTCTCCATAAAGAGAAGCAGGTACCGACACAGTTGATGGACAGGTGGCGGAAAGCAGCCCTTGTGATATCATATGCTTCTGTGTTTACAACTTTTGTGATTGGAGTTAGTGCCTTTGGTACGAGTATGTTCTATAACCAATTTTGATAAATTCCTGATTTTATTAATTTCTTGTCTTATTAAAATAATTGAATGTTCTGTTTTCCACAGTCATTTCCACCTTGGCAAGAAGTTCTGCTGCATTTGGTTTTGCTGTAAGTTGCTCTTTTGCCATATTCAGGCCACACTGACAAAATTGTGTTTAGCAAAAGAAAAAGCATTTGTCATACTTTCAGCATGAAATAATGTGACTGAACATTTCTTCAATCTTTTTCTTCCAGTTTGATTCATTACTAGATGTTTGTTCATCATTAGTTGTTATTTGGAGATTCTGTGGTTTAGCAGGACAAACTTACTCTTGGGAAAGAGAACGAAGGTAAATGTGATCAAATCTTGCTTGTAAGTGATAAATGCCCTTTTAAGAATTGCAAAAACTTACTTTTTTGTCTTCGTTTCTTTTTAGGGCATGTATAGCAATTGCTGCATTATTTGTGTTATCTGGTACCGGAATATTGATTAGAGCAGTCAGGTCCCTGATTGTAGAGAAGCATCCTATAAGGGTAAGATAGCAGCTTATAACTTTTTTCAATAACCTTATTGACTTGGTTCATTCCCACCTAACCGCCAGCGGAGCATAGTCTGGCATGGAAACCGTCCAGTCTACGGTAGTCTATTTTCGTATATCGCTGCAAGCTGTGGCTAGGTGTGGCCTGTTATATAAATCATTAACCTTGCCATCTGCTTTTCTTCTCCAGCTTCTCCTGGAACAATCTTGACTCCTTTTTCCTCCCCTTCCCACCTTGGTACAGTACCTTCTGAGTGCATGCTTGACAAAAATTGTTTTTTCCAATCCTGCACATTTATACCATTAGAAATAAGTGAATGTCTGAAGCTTTGTTCAGATGCTTTACATGTACTTCCCCTGATGTTAATCTAATGGTATCCACATCCCAGACTGATTTACATGTAAAATCAGTAACTTTGCTGATGCACTGATCTTAAATACTGGCTAACAGTACTAAATACGTATGATGGACGATCCTCGCAGTAGATAGCGCTATTTAGGCAATAGCGAAAATCAGACCTGAAAAAAATCAGTACGGGATTCGAACCACTGACCTCTGCTATACTAGTGCAGCGTTCTACCAATTGAGCTAACAAGCCAACTGGGAGCAGGCCATTAAGTTGATTCGTAATAAACCCATGAAAGTGATAAATGAGATACAATGAATATATGAAGTTCATATTTTTGAACTGCGGTATTAGATACGTATGATGGACGATCCTCACAGTAGATAGCGCCATTTAGGCAATAGCGAAAATATATGAACTTCATATATTCATTGTATCTCATTTATCACTTTCACGGGTTTATTACGAATCAACTTAACGGCCTGCTCCCAGTTGCTTGTTAGCTCAATTGGTAGAGCACTGCACTAGTATTGCAGAGGTCAGTGGTTCGAATCCCATACAGGCCTGATTTTTTTCAGGTCTGATTCTCGCTATTGCCTAAATAGCGCTATCTACTGCGAGGATCGTCCATCATATGTATCTAATACCTCAGTTCAAAAATATATGAACTTCATATATTCATTGTATCTCAGTACTAAGTACAGGAGAAAAAACTCACAAACATTACATTTTCAAATTGAATGTAGTTCACAGGTATTGAGGCCATTTCAGGTGTCAGTTTGGTGGCATTTACAACTTTAGCATGGATAAAATTTGCCACAGCTGAAAAACTGCATAGTGAATCTTTACGAACTGATGGTATGGCTAGATCAAAACCCTGACTATAACTTACCATTAACATTGATAGATATATATTTTTATACTTTTAACTCTGCTGTTTGAACCTGGTAAAACAGAACTCTGCAATTTTTAAATATTAAATGATGCAAATCTCAGTTTGAGAGAGAGAGAGTTTCAAGAATCAAGGATTTAGAATCAAGAATCAAGTTTTCAGGGAATCTTAATTAACTTACATTAAGGAAGAAGAGACATTTTAAAAGGTACAGCTCAAGGAATTCATTCAGTCTGGTTTTGTTTTTGTTGTTTTAGGTAGGGTATGGGGAAAACACCTTGGAAAAATGATATAATTTATTTGTTCTTTTACTTTCTAACCAGAGAGATTGGGAAAAAAGTTCCTTAAATATCAAGCAAGGGTATTTTGTAGAATAACATGCAAGTGCTAGAAGAAAAATCAGGCTTTCTTGGAGCTATCTTCTTGGATTAGTTGCAGAAATGTAATGATTCAAATTGAGGTCCAGGCTGCTTATTTACTTTTGATACCCAGAGAAAGAGCACTGTATTAGGGAGGGGGTGATAAATTCCTTTTTAAGAAACAACATAGCAGAATGTGCAAATTACAAAGTTCTGATGTTTATTTGAAAAGGATCAAAGAGTGGAAAACAAACTTGCTGTCCCTGGATCCTTTCTGGCTAAAAACTAATGACCAGCCAAGCAATCAGGGGGGTGGGGGGTGGGGCTTGCTGGAATAAGGTTTCTCAGTACTCAATAGTGTTGCATATTTAAAAACAAAAAACTTCACGGGGCACTTATAAGAGAGGAATAAGGGCCCTTAATTGAATCATCACAGTATTTATATGAAAGGGTCAGTGTACCCAGTGGGGGAGGGAAGGAGTGGAGTGTCACGCCCCAAAGTACTGCAGTTCAGTTTACTTGTGGTTCAAACTGCTTACAATGATATAAATGACCATTTTTTTAACATTTAGACAACATTGCATCTCATTTCCATTGCTTTATGGTTTCCTTTTCAGCTATCAATTCCACAGCAGGTGCAATCATGGCACTGGGTATCATTATAAGTACCATGGTGTATCAGTACAGTAGCAGCATATGGTATCTGGATGCAGCTATTGCTTTTTGCATTGCTTTGGGCCTGTTTGGTTATGGTATTAGGTAAGTTGCACTATAGAACTATTATTGTGTTCTGCCATCATGGGCTATATTCAAAATTGATGTACAAGTACCAAGTTTTTCTTGACGGTCGCACTCCCGCTTCCCAAGGGACTTATCTTGGTTGCTGTAGTACAGTGTACATGAAGGGATGAGAGGCATTGCTCCTTCCCCACCCCCCTCCCCAACAGTTTCCAATAGTCCATCAGTGCCCAATTATACTCCTGTGCGGGGTTCTTTAAAGCTGGGTTAAGATAACCTAGGCTTAACTGGTAAAATCTGATTTCAGATTTCAAAGCCTTTAAAGATAATTTAGTAGAATTCTTTTTGTCTAGAATTTAATTACTTGATGCTCTAAAAAGAATAGAGAAAAGTATTCTGAATAGGCTTCTGAAGAAGGGAGTAAAGAAACCTGGATTAAGATCTAACCTGGGGTTAGTGTTAATCAGCCTTCAAAGAACTGGGGCCGTGCAGAAGAAAAGTGACATGTCCCAGAAAACAACAACAAAGCCTTGGCCAAAACTTAAACTGAAATCCTGCAGTCATGAACTGTTCGTGTAGGTCAAAGTATATCCTGTATTTAAAGCTTGACTTTTCTTACTAATTTCTATCTTTTTCTCCTCTTAACAGGTTATTAGCAAATCTTCTTTCTTCAAAAGGAAAAGCAGCCCCACCCACATGGGAAGGATTTGACTAGTACACTGTAGATATCCTTAATAAGAAGGGGATAGTGGATCAGTACAGCACAAGAATTATGTTCAGAAATCAGCTTTTACTCAGTCAACCTTCTGTTTCATAATGGATTACACTTTCTTGTCCGATTGCCACTTTTCTGATAATGAAAGACCAGGGCGAAGGAGAGGAAGGAGGAAATAAAATTAAGGAAGGACAATACACTTGAGAACTGTATGTATCACATGAGTACCTTTGGTCCACAGTTATCACTTTGTTTCCTGGTCTGTGTATAAAAAAAAAAAAAGGGGAGTAGCAGAGGATTATGTTGAAAAATCTCTAACTGTGGGGCTGTGTTCCACAGGAGATTGGCAATTAACAGCAACCTGTGGATGGCTTTTATCAGCTTCCTTCTAAGAAAGATTTTAAGAGTTGGACACTTCAATTTTGTGAGAGCAGAGCTTTCACTCACCCAATGATCCTTCTTTGACTTAAAAACACAGCTTTGAGCAAATTATTTTCACCCAAAATCTGCCTAACTCACCAGTTCAAACCCTCGAAGGGACAAAGCAGAAGTTGTAATGAGTGACACCCTCATGCAACTTCAAAGGGCCTCCAAGGCTACTCTTTGGCCCTTAAACCCCAAAGAATGATCAGCATTCAATTTCTCCCCAGAGTATCACTAAAGCAAACACAAAGGTTATGAGAATAAAGGAAATGATCATAAGATCATGAAGCTTTTCATCAGTAGGTAAATTCTCCTTGGCAGCACCATAGGAAACATATAGAAAACAGTGTGGAGAAATTGTTAACTGATGCTTGGGTGTAAACGGTGAAGTCAAAGCCAGTGAGTTGAACTTTCTATTTGGGTTGTCATTTGGTAATATTTAACCAAGTATTTTGATATGCAGTGAATGTAATTATTTATCAAGTTCAATATTTTGTGAAAGAGGACACACTAAGGTGATGTAATTTATGGGTGATTACTTCACATTGTGGGGTGATATATTCACAATGTGTGGGGAGTGGGTGGGAAGTTTTTGATCCACTCGCTACCTTCCTAAACTTAAGGAAAAAAATTGGGTCAAATCAGAGCTAAATGCACATGCGTAAGAATGTTTTAAATTATTTTTTACTCGAAAAAATTTGGGAAATGTGACATAGCTTTACTTATTAAATACTAAAGTTGAATATCATTCAATATATAAGTTTCAAATAGATACATATGCACTCAGGTGTTAGTTTCCCAGAGAATTTTAGCATCTGGTATTTCTTTTCAAATTTGGTTTCAGAACCTGTTTATTGTCACAATTTTAATCTGAGAAGTACTTGTTTGTCTCCCGTATCAAGGACGACTATTAAATATTAATTGTTATGCTATTTTAGAAAGCTTTTGTTGTCTCTTTTTATATTTAATTTTTTTTTTTTAATATTTTACTTTCTGCAAACAATACCACTTATAATGATGAAATTATCCTTTAGAATGAGATTTATGTTAAATTATGCGAAAAAGTTCAATCCGTTTTGCAGTGTTTTGAAATTTTGTTGTCGATTAACTTCGAAAACATTTTATCGACGTGGGTAGTTCGTGCAGCAGATGCACGCACCCGACTGTATAGCGTGCACTGAGCAGCTGTTTGTATCATGTGAACAGATATAATTAAATTGAAAGTTTGCGGGGTAAGTATTAAATAACAAAATGAAAGGGTGAAAGTGCCTGTGATAAATGAATCGTGTGATATCTAAAGAAAAGTTAACTTTTCATAGACCTTTTCGCTGCTGCCATTAAACCATAACCAATGTCGACAAATGTTTTTTCTCCGCAATGGGTAAAACAGTGGCATGGACCCCCGTCCTCTAATTCCCTTAAATGAATAGAGCAACCAGAATTTTAACTGTAAACACCCTGCAGATGAATAATCTCTTGCTAAATGTTTGTCACTTGTGATGCGAGTTCATTCATTTTTCAAGAATCTCAAATTAACACCCTTATTAATGTTTCGTTAGGGTGCGAGATAAAACAAAATGCACTCCTGAAGAAAGTTGGTCAACAAAAATAACGTGTTTCACGCTTTTCACGGCCTGACAATTATTCGGAAAAGGTGACGCAATCTCGTGCTCGTGAAAACTTGTCAGACAAATCATTCAAAAAAGTGAAGTATATCTTTTTTCATAACAAGTGAGCTGACAAGTAAGTAAACGAGGAAACGGGAAGCAATAAAAAACCGCACTTTGAATTTTCAATTTCTAACTGAAGAGAGGAGAAAGTTGTCATCCAAGCCCTCCTAGAAGTTTCAGATATGACGCAGGACTGATGTTTGCCGGTTGACCGAGAATTCGTACACAAATTGACGCCACACAGAGCAAAATTGAAAGAAAGCCTCGAGGGCATTTTTTTTCCGCTTTCCGCCTTCATGGAAACAAGTAGAGGTAAGTAAAACCTCTCGTACATCGGGAAAATTTCGAAACGCATACTTGATATCAATTTCCATTCCGCTCATTTACAGTTCAATCTAAGTTGTAATTATAACGGTGTTGTGTTGAATTTTGTGTCGAGGAAAGACAGACTTATAAGCAAGTAAGATTAAATTCGTCGGAGGCTGTCCAAAGCAAAACAACTTCAAGAGGACCTCCAAAAGTAACACTTACTACCACAAGGTTCAGCTTTTCTTTAGCAAGACCGTGTTTTGCAGATCACCTTAAATTGAGCCTCACGTTTTACCAAACCTTTAATTTTTGTCAACAATATCAGCAAGTCTTGCAGTTTGCGATGAAAAAAATATTTCCGTAAATAACCGTCCTGTAGAAAAAAATTAAAAACTCGAATTCTACTGATTTCCTAGAACCTCGGCCTGAGATTACACTGTTTTCATAGCCGGCTAAGATTGTATGATGAACGTGTTCTTGTGGAATGAAGGTGGCGAAGCCTCAAAAATGTTCATGTTCATAAAAGTTTGTATGTCTGTGGCCTCAATGTGCGATAAAACTGAGTGGAGTCAAAATATCCGGGTATGATTTATTTCATCACCTATCTTTATTCAAAACGGTTCAAGAACGAACATTGTAATTTCAACCCATCTCCTCGGCTCTAACAGAAGATATTGTACCTCAAATGCAGCGTCATGTAAAAATACGAAAACAAATTTTCCTGTTAGAGATGAAAAGGTTGTATCAATGTCAGAATCTAAGCAACTGCGCACCTACCCCCCTCCCCTAGCTCAACAGTAGTCAACCGACAGGATGTTGGGGTTAGTAAATGGTTAGGGGAGGGGTAGTTGCGTCGTTGCTCAAATACTGACATTCGTCCAAAAGGCTTATGAGAATGGCTCTGATCTTCATGCACTCAATAGGGTGCAGACTTACGGAATTTTGATAAGATGGGGGGAGGGGGGAACACATAATCTTTTTTACTCTAGGAGATCCTTACCAAGCTTAGAAATATTTTGAGATGAGTACAACTTATTTAGTTTAATTTGGCTTTTAATTAATATGCAATCATGTAATTGGTAGAATTTTGGTTTCATACAAGATGTTAAAATACTCGCAGGTTTGAGGAAAGAGTCCGTAGCCCCAGTCCTCCCCCCTAATAAGTTACTGTTTGGAGCTGAGAAGGCATGTCTCTCGAGCGTCTGTTATGCTGATAAAAGACTAAATTTTCCAAACTAATTCAGAAGGAACATTTAATAATGTAGCCGGAGGTCCAGGCAGAGAGAACTGCAAATTAATTACAACTACTCAAAGGGTTAAGTCCAAAAATTCAAACTTTTAAATGCCAAAAATGAGAAATCTACTAGCAACTTTTGAAAAAGTTCCGTTATGTAAATTTTCTTTTATTAACATTGATTGGTCTGTTGTAAGTCGCGTCTCCTATACCTGGGTTACAAAATACGTCAGTATACTTGACCCATCAGTAGCAGTTATCAGTATCTGTCTTAAAAGTGAAAGAGAGTGAATTTCCTTTTTTCGGAGCATTTATCGCACACATTCAGCTTTAGGAATTTAGAAAGTATACTTCACAATCACAATCAAAATCACAATCTCTAAAACAAACTGACGCACTTTCCAAACAATAATTAGCTACTATGTATTCATTTAATGATAAGCGTTTTAATTCCGCCGCTGACAGCTGATTACATATTGACGGCGTGTGATTGATAACAGCGATAAAGTCTCCTCGGTACATGTTGATCGACCTTTCATAAGAGAGATATCATATTGTAGGAAAATTTAAGACTGTTTTAACAGTTTCCTTATCGAGTCTACGTGGTTAAAAATTGGTAAGTTTTTCCTTGCTTTTTCAAGAGTAGAGAAATCGACAGATTTAGATGCTCTTTCTCAAAGATATAAAAACGATTTATGGTACAGGTAGCTTGTGTATTTCAAAAACCGTGACTGAATTAACTTATTTCGGCAATTTAGACATCTCACAATCCTAAACTAAAACTTCTGACCAGAAATGAAAAGTCGTGCTGTTTAAAACTGGCCTTCAAGCAAAAAACGAATATCACTGCTGTTACTTACCTTTATTTATTTCCTTATTTCTTTTTGTTACTGCGGTTTTCATAACCAATCTTAACTCTTTTGCAGTTATCCTAGGCAAGCATTTCAAAATTTGATAGAATTGCATTCTAAAAATAACCTAGTATGACATGAAATCAATGTAATAAATATAAAATTCTAAACGCGAAGTCCTGTTGCGTAAGTGGCCATATTTCATTTTCATGTAATTTTTCCCTTTCACAAACTATCCCGCTGGCACGTTTGCTTCACCTTTCAACTGAGTAAAAAAATTAAAATCTTTAAAGAAGCATTTAAAATGAACGGGCAATTTCATTTTAAGAAAAACTTCCTTATTCAAACACGTATAATTTTGAACGCGAGGTTACGAAAAACGGATGTAGTACCAAATAATATTAGATTAATTTCCTGGTTTCTGTATTGTCCGCTAGACACGAATTTCATTTCATTATTTATTTTGTGGCTGATCTACTGTGATCAGGATTTAGACAGATTTACCATTTGGCTAAATAGCAGTTTGATAGGCAGACATTTTCTAGTGCGATTTATTCACCTTTTCATTGAAAACCATTATGCACCACATCGCAGCTTTTCTGGGACGTGCGAGTCACGGACGAATATCCGTTAAAAAAAAAAAATACGATAAAAATAAAAATGAAATTTAAAAGATTCTTCAAAGGTGAGATACGAAATGGCCAGAAATGCTGCTAGGAGTGCTCGATTCGTGGTAAAAAGTACCAGGAAAAAAATTTCTTTGATAACAAATTCGTAAATATTCACGCTACCACGCACGGTTATATCCTCGAGCTACGCTGATATCCAGACTAAATTGTTTTTTAAATGAATATCAAGATTTTGCTGTTAAATTTTCGAGAGAAGAAAATAATAAAATATTCTCTTGTGATCAGGGGCGTTCGTTTGTTCGCAATAAAACACAAAGTCACAGCTTTTGAACCCATTATGTCTAGTAACAGGGAAGAAAACAGATCTTTTCGATAAGATGAACAATATTCTAAGTAAAAAGTGTTAACGAACTTCGAGCAAAGAAGGTAAAACAAAAGAAATAATTTTGAAATGTTTGCACAGGTTTTGAATACTGTCTATGATTCTTCCTTCCGATGAATAATTATAAACTTATCTATCGTATGGTGGTTAAGACAACGAAGCTTCGTGGAAAATATGCTGTTTCACTTTGGAGTGAATATGAATGTTGTAATTGGATATCAGGTCTAACATAACAGATAAGCTGGAGAATAACCCCTTGGTCACTATGAGGGGTCATCTCCGCCAATATCCTGTTTCAAATTCTGTTCTAAAAGACCTGTATGCTATCGCTTTTTATCAAATTCTTTTCAGAATAGAAATTGGCGAAGCAGAATAGAAATTGGCGAAACAGAATAGAAATTGGCGAAACACAATAGAAATTGGCGAAACACAATAGAAATTGGCGCGGTGATGTCTCTATTTCTATTCTATTTTTCCGACGAACCGAGTGGAACCTGAGTAAGAGCCAGTTAAACATTATAATTTATTCTCCCGATTCCCGCTCAAAGAAAATTTATNTAAAGCAATGAAAAATGATACAACTTTGGCAACTTCGTACGCTACAACGCGATGCAATCCCGCTTTTAAATTTTGTGTTCTAGCAGATGGTCCTTTTATCTCTTAGGAAATATTAATTTCTTGTTATTTTGTTACGTTCAAGTCTGAATAGTGACCCGTTGAAATAAAGTACGTTGAACGGCTGTCACGCAAGAGGTTATGTATTTGGTACATTCCTGGCCAAGTTGAAAGATTGGCAGTCACATTTATAACAAGCTAGGAATTTGCTAGATAAACAAAAATTGACCAAGCAAGCATGATCCTAGCGCAAGTGTGACCGAGGGGTAACTCCTAAAATAAACCAGATTAGAGACAAGTTTTCTTTCGTATACAACTGCTTTTCTTTCCTAAAAGTGAATTTCGTGCCCAAATCACAGCTTGTCGAGCGTCTAAGACATGGCTAACAGCGCTGTGCAATAAGATATTCCTAATCGCACGACATTTATCTGACCACCCGAGTGGGTTTTTCTTTACAACAAAATAAAAATCTCTTCAGGGTATATGTCGCTGAATGTAACAAGGAAAGTGCTCTTTTATTTATTCCTAGGGCCCCACGCACTTATGGAAAAATCCACCATCTTTAAATTCTCTTGTTTTAAAATTTTGTTATTCTTCACTTGAAAAAGTGATGATGACGCTTAGAGAATTTGCATTGTCGGTCGAAGTTGCCAAATACGATGTTTGTTCTTTGCCTCCTTTGGTTGTGAGTAGACTATTGAAAAGCTCTCAATGCGCCGCTGTACAGAGATCTCGCGGGCTTCTCGTGAAGTCCGCAAGATTTGAGCTAAGTTATCTGCGAAGGGTCTCGTCCTCAAAGGCGTTGCTACCATATCGTACTCTTAAAAAGTCAAGAAAAGGGCTTGAAATCTGGGATGTTATTTACCAAAGGCAACACCGTACGGGATCATCGAGTATTGGAGAGATTTAGGTCCTTGTTTACCTAAAAAAGGCAAACGTCAGCTGGCCCCTTTTACATTTCACGCTGAAAAGTGTAAACTTTACAGCTGTCTGCTGCTGAAAAGTGCGGCATTTGAAGGATTTTCAAAATGAAACTTTACCTTCCATTGTATAACTTATAGAAAATAGTTATGTACTTTTTCCAGCAACTTAACTTCTACCCTGTAAGAGAAAAAGTGAAGAAAATCCTACGTACACGGCAAACTAGGAACAGCTTACTTTCACGTTGAAGCGGCAAACCGCGACCGGCAAACATGAAAAAATGGCGGGAAAATCGTTGTCACATGGTCACTTTTGCCTTTTTCGCGTTTCAGGTAACGCGGTGCTAACCCTCTCTATTATGTTACCAAAGCAACGAGTGCTATAATTAGACTAGGCACAAGGTTTGCCTTGCTTCAAAATTTAAGTAAAAGTACAAACCATGTTTGTTGATGCCCGTTAACATAGTCCTGGAAACTATAACTCACAAAACGCTGTCGGTAGCGCTATGTGACTCTCGGTTATTTTCAACCGCCGCCCAGTTAGCCCAATGGATAGTGCACGGGACTGTTGTACGGAAGGTCGAGGGTTCGAGCCCCGGCCGGACCAACACTCAGGGTCTTAAAATAATTGAAAAGAATTTGCTACCTTTCTATAACATCAGAAATGGTTAGATATTCTAGTCTTCTCGGATAGGGACGAATAAATGGAGGTCCCGTGTCCTGCAGGGTTGGGGTAGGAGACATTAATTTCTCACACACGATATTGCTGTGATGGATGTCCTCACCTGGGGTGGGATGGGTGGGAAGGTGAGATCGATGGACTGAAGTGGCTGCCAGAGGCGCCTTTTAGGCTGACGTCTGATCTCAGCCTTAAAACTGCACCCGTAATTCAGCCTCAGGCTGCAAGTGGTCAGAAATACTATTATATTACTAAGTCTACGGGAACCGCCTCATTTTGATTTCTTACAAAAGCACAAACGATTTGCGTTTTTAAATTAAGCATCATCGTGACGGAAAAGATACCATCTTTCGCTTTTTAATTTTTTTTTTTTCAATTAAATGTTATCTGTATTAATGACGATTTTTGTTTTCACTGTACTGATTCATCATTCCGGTATTTCGAGATATTTTCAAGTCCCACGTTTCCTTTGTTTACAGTAAACAAACTGATTGACCGTTCTAAGCAGTCAGCTTTTAAAAGGCTACATTTAAGCGACTTACCTAAAATACATACTTATTCAGCTGAAATTTTACTCAAATCGTTTCTCGCTTATTATTTATCAAAAGGGAGGTTTCCCTAACGTTTATCACCGGATAAAGGACAATAAATTTAAAACATCTACCAATCTGATCAAATAATGCCAGGACGTTTTTACTCTAACAGCTGTAAATTTTATATTGATTTCGTATCTGAAAAACTATTAGCCAACGTGATAATGCTAATGGAACGACAAGTTAAATACACTGTACATCTAAATACATTAACTTTAGGGGGTGCTATTGCCAGCAAATTTGCATTTCAAAGGAAAGAATTGATCGCAATTAAAGACTTCCCAGAACAAAAAGTATGGTTTTGAATTAATTGGACCAGCGTATGAAACTCTGCGTGGTCTCGGTGAAATTACGAAATTTATCCATCATTTATTGATAACGTGAGTGTCGTACAGTGCGTTTTCACCTGTGCTTTTTTCATGAAATCTATCACCGACAAACGCTGGTGAAGAAAAAGACCTTCGAAGTGTTGTGTTTATCGGCTCAGTCACGCACATCGGTCAACTGTATGTTTGTGTTTTTCGGCCGAGGAGAAACTTCTTACTTCTGACAAGTTTAACTCTTTGAATGCGGTTTTAATGCATGGATGAGATGTAGTCACAAAAGATTAACGTCTGTTCGTTCAATATGTCTCGAAGCAACGCTACAGTTGAAAAAGACTGCAGAATACAGTATATAAATGTTTCACGACAATTCGATTTAGAGCGTCAAAGGAGAGCGAATCGATGTGCACATCAAGGTCTGTAGTTAAACCTGTTTTGTAAAGATTGTATCTTTATACATTTCGACTCTCTTCCAACGAGCTCGAGGTTGTCGCGGTCGTCAAAACAGAGAGCATTTTACCGGACATTTAATAAGCCTAGTTATTTTTTATTCAAACCGGGTTCTCTAGCAGCATCATATTTCATTCTCTATGATGTTTTTTAAGGTATTGCGTATAGAATTTATTTTCGTTAAGAATCCTACGTCAATTCAAAATAGAAGAATTTGTAATCAGTCTACATGGTTATATCTTGCAGATGGGATGTTCCGTGAGTTTGATAAAGTTGACACTGATATTTCTGAAACGTGGCGAAGGGCAGCTCTTCTGGTGTCCTTCGCGTCCATAACGATAACTTTAACCCTAGGAATAGCGTACTTTGGTGAGTATCTCTCATTTACCTCTCAAACTCGCCTTAGTTGATTAATATTTCACTCGATGTTTTTTTAGTACAATTAGAATTGAATGATAGAGTCTGATAATGTCTGAAGAGAATTCGTTTTGCTTGTGCGGTGAATAAATTATGATCCTTTTCAGTGTTTGCTTAAAAGCGCACAAAGATCATTTAAAATGAGCCGTCCCTTGAAATTGTTATGTAAAATTGGACAACGATAATTAAATGAAGGAAGCACTTTTATCGTAGAAACGTCAAAATAAAAATAGATATATCTTATTAAAACAGCAACTTGGCAAAGAAACAATAAAATTTCTTAATCGAAATTTATTCTATGATTTGAAATTTACATTTTCAAAAGCTCTCATTTTATAAAATCATTACTAATGCCATCTAGTTTATTTCGTATTATTTTTTGCCGGCACTATCTGTGGTCTGGAGAAGACTGGAAATAAATTACTGAGAAATCACCGTTTCTCGGCCACAATTTGATGTTGTCTCAGCTAATTTTTTTAAAATACTTCCTACGGTAGGGAAAATCCTATCATTTTTATCAGTTGTTTTTGCATTATAGCGATAAAATGGTTTATCGTTATTTGGAAAAGGGTGCATTTCTACTTTGACAGTGGCTAGCATCCAGCTTTTTTTTTTTAAATTATCACCTCTGAATCACACATTAATATCACGAAATTAAAGGAAATGATCAACAACTAAAGAAGCTCTTGATTATTAAACAAACTCTCTTTGTCGGCATCTAAGAAAATACAAAGAGAAATGAATGGAGAATTATGCGTGCTGAGGTGGGGCTGTAAAGAGTCAGCACTACGACGGGGATTAGCTTATCCTCAAGAGAATTCAGGTCTAAAACATTTTAGAAGCTTCAAATCTATTACGTGGAAGTCAAGATAATCTTTTCAAAAGGATTCTGTAGTAAGGAAATATTAAAATAAAATCCCAAACATCCGACCCTCGCCGAAAAAAGGAAACTGGTGTCCTAAGTGCTCTCGATGGGGTAAACCATTGGCCGCAAAACGGCCAGAAAATATAGCCTTTAGGCGTAAAAAATTGAGTTTTTCCTTATTCTAATGAGCAATTATGTGTAATTTTGGGTTAACTGTAATCGAAAGCTGGCCAAAATTTTACTGAAGCGTTAGCCGTTGAAGCCACTATCCCATTGAGACCCTCCTCTACAAGTACAAGGTCCAAGAGATTGAGGGTTGAAATTTCAGAACGTGATTGAGTAAAGGCAGTTTTGATCTGAATTGTTGTCTACAATTTAGTGACATTAGTGGAACAAGTTGGTTCAATTTCTCGATAATGAATGCATCTTAACGTGTAAAAGAAAATATTTGATTTTGTGGTGGAGGAGGGGAAGGCAGGGATGGTTTAGCCAATGAGGGCTTATCACGTAACTCCAGTCTGCCCAGATAACCTTTATCGAATGCGTAATTACCCTGTAAACTTGAAAGTCGAACGCCTCAGACTATCATTATAAATGAATCTTTTCCTTTTCAAATGTAGTATTGTCGACCCTGGATGGAAGCCCAGCAGCATTTGGCTTCGCGGTAAGTAGTTCTTGCAAAAAAAAATGATAAAGGAGAATTCATTACTTGACGAGAGAATTCCGCATTGAATTGCACTTGAAAACCGCTATCGCACGAATAGCGTAGCAATGAGTGCGATATCGGTTTTCAAGTGCAATTTAACGCAGAATTCACGAGTCAATGGATTTTCCTTGAATCGCATAATTTCATTAAAAAGAAGTTACTTGTAGTTACGTATACGTAGATGTGAAACAATATCACTTTGCCTCGTTTTCAATTCGCAATTCCATGCCAAAGACCTCGCTTCGTTAACCAATAAGAATGCGAGATTTTATTCAGTAACGCAATTCTACTTAAAATCAGTTTATGCGGCAGCTGAGCGTCCATCGAAATATGAAGCTCACGCGGTAAATGCGTAAGAGTTTCACTAGGCGCCTGCGCAGCCAAGAGCGACTCCAGCTGCTTGAATTGACGAACAGTTTGTGTTTTACTGATGTTTTCTGCACTGTAACACATAATTGTTTTTCTTTAAAGTTTGCTGCAGTCTTAGATGCCTGTTCTTCGGCTGTTGTGGTATGGAGATTCTCAGGCGCAGCGGGACAAAAATATTCCTTTGAACGAGAACGAAAGTAAGGCATCACTAACTGGAAATTTTCCATTTATTTCTCTCATTGATCTTGTTCTCCCCCCAGAAAGTTTACGTTTCCATGTTTGGCAGTAAATATATGTAACTTGATATGCTAATAGTTCTCTTTCGGGGGATTGGGGTGAGGAGACAGCCCAACCTCGTTCCAAGGGCCTTTTTCTGCCCTACCCCCAACTCCACCCCAACTAAGGGAAAAGGCCCTGGGAACGAAGTTGGAGACAGCCTGCATTTCAGACTGAGGCAGTGGCTGACGATAACTAATATGCTATTTGTCGTTGTTTCATAGAGCGTGCATTATAATTGGAGGATGTTTCGTTTTGTCTGGCTGCGCGATCCTGTCCAAAGCTGTCTACATGCTAGTTGTTGACAATGAGCCGAAAAGGGTGGGTACCCGATTCAATCGATCAGTTCAGTGCACAATAATTTTTTCACTGATGTTCATCGCCAGCAATCCTTTATAACCTTCTCTATCCTTACCACCTTAGTCACTTCTTGGTTAATTACTGCCTTTTCTGGTTTATTTTTTTCTTTCTGATCAGGTATTTTTCAGTCTCTTTCAAAATCAATCAAAATATTGTAACTCGCGGTCGATTATTTACCGAATGGATACCGAGAATTAGCCGATTGTTTACCGAATATCGATCGGCCGATCATGAACGATCGAGTCCACATCCACCTGACACTTTCTGTATATTTGCTCAATTCCTTTTTTTTTTTCTTTCGGAATCCTTAGAGTACACCACTTTTGATAACAACTTTTGCCGCTTTTGGTTTCATGGTATTGTTGGCCTGGTTTAAATACCTTATTGCTTATAAAGTAGACAGCAGAGCTCTCAGAACAGACGGTAAGCCTAATAGTTATGTAGCTTTTCTCCCTATTGATCTCGCTCTCTTTGTTAAGATAATATCGGGATAATTGTTTTGGTGTTTACGAAAGCAAAAGCTCTTTCTCCAACTGAGAGAAGGGCAGTAAGTTTCAGAAGAATCTGCGTTACTGCTTCGGTGGGGGAAGGAAGGGATGGGGGTATAACAAGATATTGGTTTTGTCAACCGAATTAACAACGTGAAATTGGCCACCGCAAAGTGATGAAGCTGCCTTTTCGAGCATTAGCCCTTTGTCAAAGCAGGGTTGGACTTAGATCGATGTTTAGTCTCACGCCTGTGAAGAAACGGATTTCATGTTTATTTATCATATCTTTTACCTGACAAAAACAGATTCATGATTACCTTAAAAAACACTCCTTTGTCACGCCCTTAAATTTATTCAAAGTATCTTTCTTTTTCACAGCCTTTAATTCGACAGCAGAGGCAGTAATGGCTTTTGTAATGGCTATGAGTGACGTCATCTACGATCAGAATCCTAACATTTGGTTCTTAGACGCATCTGCCGCAATTTTCATTGCATTTATTCTTTTTGTTTATGGCATCAGGTAAACTCAACTCACATATTACTATGGTATATTTTTTTAAGATGTAAGTTTTCTCGAGCGTAATTTTTACAGAATATCAGCACTTATCCATGAAAAATGTTTCTCCAAAAGTGGCGTGTTATCTCCTGGGAATCGAAAATTCGAGACTACCAAAAAATACTCTTCCTACAGTTTTAGAACTGGACTAAGTTTTCCAATAAAGAACTTTCAGATCGCAGCAATTATTATCGAAAGAAAGTTCTGTTTACGGAAAATGATAATGCGTTAAAATTCAAAGTTAGCACGCGCTAACATTTTACTCCCAAGATCTTGTTAGTAACTCTCCTTGCTGTCTGCTAGACATTCCTTATGATGAATTTGGTATTCATCAGCTAATAATCCTCAAATAGATATTTTTCTTTATTCTCATTACTTATCTGTTATTGTAAGGAGAAATTCTGTCTTGGTCACTCGTGGAAGTTACAAGGTTGACTGTATACTAAGCTTTTCATGTATTCGTGCCCAAGCGCCACGCAGGACACAAGAATTTGTCCGTTCACTACATTGATTAAGGTTTTACATCACACTGTTTAATTTACAGGACGATTGTGGAGTTGCTTCTCACCAAAGGACTGGCTCCGATTCCGAGCCGTTAACTGAAGATTATGATCACGTGTTCGATTGGTATTCGGTCCATGAAGAGTAGCGAGAGTATTGTAATCGTTTAGCTTTACGAATGTCTTTACCTGTGTTTTATGTTTACGTAAGAGAGCGAGAAAGTTTCTAGGAAAAGAAATCAAGGAATAAGTATGATAAATGAAAAGAAAGAAAAACGAAAAAGAAAAAAAAAAAGAATGAGTTTTGCATAATTTTCTATAAGAATGCAGAACCTTTCTTGGTTACATGAGAAAGCAAGAAGGTTTGTAAATAATAGTGTAAGAACAAGTTTGATAAATGAAAAGAAAGAAAAAGGAAAGAGGAAACAGGAAAAGGGGGAAAAAAGAAGCCTTTCTCGATTACTTGTGTTTGTATAGTTGTTCTACTAGCCTGGTAAGCGGACGTACAAAAGTTGCGAAACAAATTTTTTATAGGCCTATTTAAACTAAAACATCAACAAAAAGTTTCTCAGAAATAAAAGCTTAGTTATCCAGGACAGGTTCTGCGAATTACGAATTATTGTGTGGTCAGTCTTGACCTTGGCTGAATGTCCGCGAAAAGTCTGGGTAGGAACTAATGTTGACGTCACAGCTTCAAGTAAAGTCAGACCTGGTTGTTGCGTAACCTAGCTTTAATTCTCCAGAATAACATTAAACATATGTATGGTCAGTACGAAGGAGAATTAACTTCGTTGAGTTTGGGATAAAAAACTGAAGAGCGATAGCTTGAATTTCTTGCCTTTCATACTTAGAAAAGCTCAGATATTTTTATACGAGTTTACAGGACCGCTGAACATATTGATACTTACAACTGGGTTGGATAAATAATAAAATGATGATAAGTTCTTAATCAAGGACTGAGTTAAACTATAATAAAAAACCTTTTCTATGATAGGACGTAAGATTGAGATAAATATTAGGCTAGCTGTTTATAGGTTATGCAAACAAAAAAAATAAACCCGTGAATCATAAATGTTTTATTGCCTAAATAGAGTTGTTAACTTTCAGTTAACTTTAAATTAAAGCTTTTAGAAGCAACGAGAATTCTGCTATTGTGGTTATTTTGTAAATATATGAAGAAAATAATAACTTTAATAAAAGAAACATAACTACAGCAGCTTGTTTCTTTGTTTAAAGACAAGCAACTCTTAATAGTCGCTTTTTCTTATTAGTCAGTTTCGTTACGGTATCTGTGGGAAACTTCAAAAGCATTCGCCATAAACATAACAAGAAATTGTATACATTGCACAGGGTGACCCCCACTATCAATTTACCTCTACTAAAGAAAAGTCTTGTAATAAGCTAAAGAGGAATAGGTTGACATTTAATTAAAGGTCGTGTATTTCTGATTCTCACTAAGAGATGTTTCCATAAAATCTCCAGTCCTTTTAGTCTGGGAGGATGTACAATTTAGTCTTCTTGCTGTAAAATATTATCTCAATGAAAATCTTCTCAGTAGATAAAATTGTTATGGGATAAAAGCTTAAGAATTATAAAAATCAATATATAAAACAGCTGGGTAGGGAATTTGAATGTTATTGACCTTTCAGTCGATAACAATATGCGGAAGCCTGTATGAGAAAGTAACACATGTTACAGAATGGCACAGTTCAAGTCCAGTGAAGTTGCCTCCTCCAGTATTATTAGCAAGAATTACGAAAAAGAAGCAAGTTTAGATGTTTCTGGTCATTTCTAAAGCTCATCGTCCAATTCTGGATAAAATCAATATGTTCTCTATGGTAAGAGTAAGTGGAATTGTTTTTATCCTAAAACATCTAGAGATAATTGACTTGGGGTTCGAACACGTATAAGTCAAACACAATTCCAAGTTTTAACAAAAGCTTCTGACTTTGAATTCTAAGTTTGCAAAAGAAAAATATTGAGATTCGCTCTTCACACTCTTGTTTTGTCTACGATAACTTGGGTTTTCAAAAAGGTTGGGCAACATCAGTTCAGTTTTTAATTTTTAAGGAATTCTTACTTACCCAATTTTGTGTGCGCACTTAGTTTGGTGGAATTTCGTTTGATATTCCTGGGGAGTGAAAAAAATGTCAGCCTTGCATCAGAAAACTCGCAGTGAACTTCAGTACTTCTAGTCGTGTTTTGTTTGTATTTTTGATGACGCATTTCCTTTCACTTAAAAGTCACCTCGGATTATCGGCTTTAATTTTTTTTCTCAGTGATGCGTATGTGATATTTATGTGAACAAAAATAATACAGTAATTTTCCAAGATGTAGGTTCTTGAATTTTTTTTAAAGATATACGACGTTCCTCAATGAACATTTAATACGAAATCTATCAACTTCAAATGGCCTATTTCCGCGAAAGGAAGAAATAAGCTGTCGGCCACTTGGAAGGCCTCGACAAGAAAAACTGACGGGTATATACGAAATAACAAATTCGTTATTTTTTGGAAATTTTCCGTATCTGTGGAATCAAACTTTTTTGAGATAGAACATCATCATTCATTTTCCTTCGTATTTGTCAAAATGAATACCCATATCTCGCAAATGTACGAGAGCACTAAAAATCGAAATCTCCCTCATGTAAGTTGTATGAACTTGTTGCAACGTAGGATAAAGTTGGATACGATGCACCTATGTTAGCTGACCACTCTTTTTGAGCTAGAAAAAGGAAAACACCTGCAACAGTAATATTCTTTCATATTCAAATTTTTCTTACCGAAGGAAAGCTAAAAACAAAGCCCCTTACATCTTGATTTATGAAACTCATCAAAAATAAATTTGTTAATTTTTTTCTACTTTTGTATTTGTTTAAGTTATTAACTAAAAGTCTCTTTTTGAGGAACTTTTTATGTTTTGTTTTTCTTATTTTGGTATTTGGAGATACAATTCTGCTTCATTTGTAATATAGGCTGATAGTTTCTAAAGAAACTGTTTGGGGCTGCGTCGGTGGGGGTAACGAAATAATTTGAATATATCAGCAAAGTTGAAATGGTAAATTGGCCACCGTTACGATTATAAAAGCTGACGTTTCGAGCGTTAGCCCTTTGTCGGAGCGAACGACGAAGGGCTAACGCTCGAAACATCCTCTTTTATTTTCGTAAAGGTGGCCAATTTACCATTTCAACTTTGTTGATATATTCAAATTATTTCATTTGTAATACTTTTTTGTTGTTGTTTCTGTTGTTCATCACTAACTTCGCAGTTTATTACTTTACTTAATTTATACACAAATCATTTTTTGGAGAGTATTATTTTTGTCTCGAATCATTTGTAATCTATTTCAAACAAATATATATGTTTTGCTTTTCTGTTTTTAGATTTTCCCACTGATTCTTAAACATATGTGTATTTTCCTTTTTACTCGTGAAACTTTATTTATAACAGTGAATTCTCAAACACCTGTCAATCTCCAAAATGGTTCAATATTTTGTTTCCATAGAGACGTCGAAGCTTATGTTATTCCGATACTTTCGTGCAAATTCTCTGCTTATGATAAGGATGTGCATCAGTCTGTATGGATGTGAATCAGGCCGG